CACTCCATTCTAACAGCAAGGCAGCGAGGCAGCTCGGCGGGGGTGGGAAGGGCGGGGGGAGCGGGGGGAGCGGGGGGGGCGGGGGGGGCGGGGGCAGCGAAGGGAGGGCTCGGGCATGCACTTAAGCCCTTAAAAACACTCCATTCTAACAGCAAGGCAGCGGGAGGGGTGGGCAGGAGTGGGGCATGCGCTGGAGCCATTAAAACACGCCAGTCTGAAAACACTCCATTCTAACAGCAAGGCAGCGGGAGGGGTGGGCAGGAGTGGGGCATGCACTGGAGCCCTTAAAACACGCCAGTCTGACAGCAGGCAGCGGAGGGGGTCGGCGGGGGTGAGAAGGGCGGGGGGAGCGGGGGGAGCGGGGGGGGCGGGGGGGGCGGGGGGGGGCAGCGAAGGGAGGGCTCGGGCATGCACTGGAGCCCTTGAAAACACTCCATTCTAACAGCAAAGCACAGCAAGGCAGCGGAAGGGGTGGGCAGGAGTGGGGCATGCACTGGAGCCCTTAAAACACGCCAGTGTGACAGCAAGGCAGCGGAGGGGGTCGGCGGGGGTGGGAAGGGCGGGGGGAGCGGGGGAGCGGGGGGGGCGGGGGGGGCGGGGGCAGCGAAGGGAGGGCTTGGGCATGCACTGGAGCCCTTAAAAACACTTCATTCTAACAGCAAGGCAGCGGGAGGGGTGGGCAGGAGTGGGGCGTGCACCGGAGCCCTTAAAACACGCCAGACAGCAAGGCAGCGGAGGGGGCAGCGAAGGGAGGGCTCGGCGGGGGTGGGAAGGGCGGGGGGAGCGGGGGGAGCGGGGCGGGGGGGGCGGGGGGGGCGGGGGCAGCGAAGGGAGGGCTCAGGCATGCACTGGAGCCCTTAAAAACACTCCGTTCTAACAGCAAGGCAGCGGGAGGGGTGGGCAGGAGTGGGGCATGCACTAAACCCCTTAAAACACGCCAGTCTGACAGCAAGGCAGCGGAGGGGGTCGGGGGGGGAGCGGGGAGCGGGGGGGGCGGGGGGGGCGGGGGCAGCGAAGGGAGGAGAGGGAGGGCTCGGGCATGCACTGGAGCCCTTAAAAACACTCCATTCGAACAGCAAGGCAGCGGGAGGGGTGGGCAGGAGTGGGGCATGCACTAAACCCCTTAAAACACGCCAATCTGACAGCAAGGCAGCGGAGGGGGTCGGCGGGGGCGGGGGGGCGGGGGGAGCGGGGGGGCGGGGGGCAGGAGTGGGGCATGCACTAAACCCCTTAAAACACGCCAATCTGACAGCAAGGCAGCGGAGGGGGTCGGCGGGGGCGGGGGGGCGGGGGGAGCGGGGGGGCGGGGGGGGCGGGGGCAGCGAAGGGAGGGCTCGGGCATGCACTGGAGCCCTTAAAACGCAAGGCAGCGGGAGGGGTGGGCAGGAGTGGGGCATGCACTGGAGCCCTTAAAACACGCCAGTTTGACAGCAAGGCAGTGGAGGGGGTCGGTGGGGGTGGGAAGGGCGGGGGGAGCGGGGGCAGCGGGGGGGGCGGGGGGGGCAGGGGCAGCGAAGGGAGGGTTCGGGCATGCACTGGAGCCCTTGAAAACACTCCATTCTAACAGCAGGGGCGGGAGGGCGGGGGGAGCGGGGAGCGGGGGGGGCGGGGGCAGCGAAGGAAGGGCTCGGGCATGCACTGGAGCCCTTAAAAACACTCCATTCTAACAGCAAGGCAGCGGGAGGGGTGGGCAGGAGTGGGGCATGCACTAAACCCCTTAAAACACGCCAGTCTGACAGCAAGGCAAGCGGGTGGGGCGGGGGGGGCGGGGGCAGCGAAGGGAGGGTTCGGGCATGCACTGGAGCCCTTGAAAACACTCCATTCTAACAGCAGGGGCGGGAAGGGCGGGGGGAGCGGGGAGCGGGGGGGGCGGGGGCAGCGAAGGAAGGGCTCGGGCATGCACTGGAGCCCTTAAAAACACTCCATTCTAACAGCAAGGCAGCGGGAGGGGTGGGCAGGAGTGGGGCATGCACTAAACCCCTTAAAACACGCCAATCTGACAGCAAGGAGCGGAGGGGGTCGGCGGGGGCGGGGGGGCGGGGGGAGCGGGGGGGGCGGGGGGGGCGGGGGCAGCGAAGGGAGGGCTCGGGCATGCACTGGAGCCCTTAAAACGCAAGGCAGCGGGAGGGGTGGGCAGGAGTGGGGCATGCACTGGAGCCCTTTACACACGCCAGTTTGACAGCAAGGCAGTGGAGGGGGGCGGCGGGGGTGGGAAGGGCGGGGGGAGCGGGGGCAGCGGGGGGGGCGGGGGGGGCGGGGGCAGCGAAGGGAGGGCTGGGGCATGGACTGGAGCCCTTGAAAACACTCCATTCTCAAGGAGGGGAGCAAGGCAGCGGGAGGGGGGGTGGGAAGGGCGGGGGGAGCGGGGGGAGCGGGGGGGGCGGGGGGGGCGGGGGCAGCGAAGGGCGGGCTCGGGCATGCACTGGAGCCCTTAAAAACACTCCATTCAACAGCAAGGCAGCGGGAGGGGTGGGCAGGAGTGGGGCATGCACTAAACCCCCAAAAAACACGCCAGTCTGACAGCAAGGCAGCGGAGGGGGTCGGCGGGGGGTGGGGGCGGGGGGAGCGGGGGGGGCGGGGGGGGCGGGGGCAGCGAAGGGAGGGCTCGAGCATGCACTGGAGCCCTTAAAACACTCCATTCTAACAGCAAGGCAGCGGGAGGGGTGGGCAGGAGTGGGGCATGCACTGGAGCCCTTAAAACACGCCAGTTTGACAGCAAGGCAGTGGAGGGGGTCGGCGGGGGTGGGAAGGGCGGGGGGAGCGGGGGCGGCGGGGGGGGCCGGGGGGGCGGGGGCAGTAAAGGGAGGGTTCGGGCATGCACTGGAGCCCTTGAAAACACTCCATTCTAACAGCAAGGCAGCGGGAGGGGTGGGCAGGAGTGGGGTGGGAAGGGCGAGGGGAGCGGGGGGGGGCGGGGGGGGCGGGGGGGCGGGGGGGGCGGGGGGGGGCAAGACATGGGTCTTCACTAGCGCCTCCCCCGCTCAAAGCTCGGGTCGGCGGACAAACTAAACTGTCATGTATCGCAGGTGTGGGCGGAGTCGTTAACCAGCGCCATGAAGGGCATGGGGACCGCAGATTCGCTGCTGATCAACTTCATGGTCCTGGCCAAGGATGAAATGAGGGAGGTCCGGAGACACTTTTACATGCAGAACGGCAAGCTATTGGAAGATTGGATTGAAATGGAGACGTCGGGCGACTACATGAACACCCTCCTCATGCTGGCCGGGCGAAACAGTGAGGAGATGTCGTATGCTGCACACATTTCGGGCTTCAGGGGCCACAATTGGGGTTGGCAGATCATTGGTTCGTAACAGCTAGTGCACTGACAGGAGACCATTAGCATTGCGCCGGTTTACTGGGCCCAACGCTGCAAGGATGCCTTGTTCAATGCCCGAGGCCGAGTTGTTGCGTGTCGTTTCAAGTATGGCGGACCCAAAAACAGCAAAGTGGACTACAGAGTTCGGAAGACTTGGGCAAAGGGTCAAATTGATACTGTATTCAACACAGAGGACCAGGAGAGAGCGAGAGAGAGAGCAGACAGGGCCGAAGAAAGGGTCCAACAGGAAGTCCTTCACTGCACAGTACATGATATGGCGGGCCAAGGTCGATACAGTGAAGGAGGTCCTCGTGTCGATGCCGGCGACGGCCATCAAGCGACATACGCAGCTCTATGAGAAGGTTTATGGCAAGTCCTTGAAGGAGGAGGCTCCCAGAAGCTTTGCCTGAAAGGTACACTGATGTATGTTCGCCGCAGAATTCAACTATGTCTCGACGCCTTATTCTGGCTGTCTTGGCCTTTTGCCTTAACACGAACGATGGAGACGGGGGGGTCCGACCGTGTCTGTTTAATTCATCACGTCACGTACGGTGTGGGGGTTTTGATTTTGGGTCACTCCGCCCAAGTGTCCGCCGGCGCCCCGGACGCCCGCGCGCACTTTTGGGGGACCCCCTCCCCTTTAATGTCCTCCTTTTGTAGTACAAACGTAGTACCTCTACGCGCGCGCGCGCGCGCGATTGGGCTCCCCCCCCATCCGCTTAAAAATCGTCCATTTGCAGTACAGAAGTACCTTTATGTGTGTCTGCGGTTGTGCGCGCTTGGTTTTGGGCCCCCTCTCTAAAATCGTCTTGTTGTAGTACAAACGTAGTACCTCTATGTGTCTCTGCGGTTGTACTTTTGGGCCCTCGTACATGATCATTCTCGTAATCCCCTCCCCTAATATTAAACCCCCCCTACCTCCTAATATTACATACTCCCGTATAGTTATATTATAGTACATGGGAGGGGATGGTTCGGAGTTGTTACCATGGAAGAACTACAGGGTGATTCGCTTTGTTTCGCCTTTGAGCCGCGGCTTGGAGGTGCAGAAGAAATGCAGCGAGAAGGGCACGTTCTTCTTTTTCACCAATTGGTGGAAACATGCGATGACAGCCCTTCTGCACATGCCAGTGGAGCTTTACGTAGAGCTCTGAGTTTTTGCCATGTCGTGAGGAAGCCGTTTGCAAGAACAGTTGTTGCTTGAAACGTGGGCCTTTCGACATGTCAGGTCAAGGGTCTTTGGGACGCCATGCACGGCTGGGGCACTGATGAGTATTCTCTGACCGGCTTAGCTCCCAGCCTGAACATGATGTCGTTGCCATCTTGGGTTTCAACCCTCCAATTATGCTCCACGAAGAGGTGTGCACACTGCCTGAAAACATGTACGACGAGATCCACGGCCTGTACCAGAAGACGTACGAAAGGCCACAAGATGCAGGTTTTTAGGGCTCCTCCCATGCCCCGAACCTTCGAAGTGAGTGAGACATCCGGCCCGCCGGCATTTCCGTTGTTCCTTTGAGCTCTCTGCGGGTTGCTCGCCTTGTGCTCCTTGAAGGAAGCTGGTCAACCACATCGAGTCAGAGACCTCCTTCAACTACAAGAAGGTCTTGAAGTACCAGGCCGAATCCTGTTGCTGTCTTTTAGTCTTTTCATGTGTCGAGTATTTCTGTTGACGGGAAAGGAGACTTCTGAGCCGGCCTCCAAGTCTTAGAACTGCAGCTGCTGCAAATCAAGCGAGTTCCTTCTTGCAAGGCAGCCCCAAAACTCTTGAGGGCTCCTCTTGATTTTGACATATTATGTCTGGCAACGTAGAAAACACTTAGTACCGTTAGTTGATACGGCGGGGCCGGATTGTTGAGCCAAGCTGGAGTGAGAAGGAATGACTCCCAAGCATTATCCGTAGATCATCTCGGCGTCTTTTCAGCTCACTTTTCCTGACTTTTCCACGAAAGACTTCAAGCAACGACCAGTCCCTACACCAAGCCCGGTACCCCTTCTTCGCCTTCCTCAACCCTAAAACAGCAAGTGTAGAGTCCTTTCGGAGCCACAGGTCCCGAAGCTGCACGCAAAGCTGCTAAAAAAGACGTCGACTAGTGACTAGGCCGTCGTGGAAATGATCCGAAAGTATCCCGCCTCAAGTAGCTTGATTGAAAGGCCATGCCCTGGGCAGAGAGCCGGGCAACAGCCTTGCATGGCGCAACTGGATCGGCAGTTTCAGCAGGTTTGCAGAACATTTGCAGGCTTAGGGGTGCGTCTTGGAGGTTTGGGGACTGGAGCTCGATGTGGGCGGGTTGTACAGTGCTTCTGGGCAAATGGCCAAATCATGGCCCCCATTGGGTCCTTATTTCTGAAGTTCTCACTGTCTGTGTGCGAGTACCCCGTGTGCAGTATGTTGTGGACAAAGGCGAAAGCACGTGTAAATTCCAGTGTTCTCGGAATGGTCTTCATATGAAGAGACGTTCTTGCAATCATCGATCCTCCTATACAGTATCTCCTAGTACTACAGTACCCTGAAGCAACGCTGAGGCCCAAACCCGCATTTCCCGCGCCTGATACCAGAGTTTACACATGATTGCACCACCAACATCCCTGAACACTTAAGAATCGTAAGGCGATGGCTGGCTGGGGCACTTCAGAAGACCAGCTGGTTCGGATCATCATCTGCTCAACCTTCAAGGCCTGGGCATTGAGCTAGGTTTCTGCGGCTTGGGTGGCTTAGGGAGGGGGTGGCACCTGGGTACTTTCCTTGTATTTTCTTTATCAGACTATATAATGTTTCTTGATCGCCTCTTGGTCTTTTACTGGCTCACGTTGAGGGGTTCCGAAGATCAGGTACTGGGCAAGTACAGGTTTGAGAAGTGCCGCGAAAAAAACCCAAGCCATTTCTACCATGGATGGTATCGGTATGGAAAGCGACCGCGTACTCGAACGAAAGGCTGTGCGTGCGTGCATGCGTGTGTATCGGTGTACCAGTGTACCCATAGGAGCTCGTGAGGCATCTCAACTACACCGCCAAAGCTTCCAGCTGTCTTCCCCAGACATTACATATGTCAGGCGATAGTCCCAAGTCGCTGGCACACGTCCATCTACCGTCATGTGGTGGGTGATATCTGGTGGGCGGGTCATGTGGTGGGTGGGTCATGTGGTGGGCCAGGTGTGGGGTATTGTTGAGTATGGGTCATCTAGCTGAGCAGTTGTTTGGTTGGACGGCCAAAGGGCTGTTCTGGGCATTGAACCCAGGACCTCTCGCACTCGAAGCGAGAATCATGCCACAAGACCAAACAGCCAGTGGCACTGCTGGCTCACGAAGCCAGAAGCAAGAAATGGTTGTTTGTATTGTTTTTGCGAGACCAACTGCTGTCACATGGAAAATCTTGCAGAACTTGTAGGCCATGCAGCACAATGTGGAAAATGGTCCCGCGCGGGCTCGAACTGCGGACCTTACTGTTATTGGCCATAAGGCCGCAAGGTGAACCAACTGAGCTATGAGACCTCTTGCTGCCATCACATGACTTACCACACCACATGACCCACCACCAACATGACACACGCCACCATCACCATGACCCACGACACACCACCACCACCATGACGCACAACACCACCATGACCCGCAACCACCACCATGACACACAGACCAGGACGGCTTGGCTTCCAAAGGTGAGTGCGAGCGAACTGCGTGGTTTAAGCGACAGTTGAAGAGAATGATTGTTCCGGGCAATGGTATGTTCAGCAGGCTCTGCCATCCCAACCACAGACCAGAACATCCCCAAGTGATTATCGGACTAACCCGATCCCCGCACGCTATCCTTCACACTCGCATAGGTCAAAGCCATATACGCTCCTCGTGGTGCGGGCCAACACCCATAGTGCCATCGTGAGTACATACTGCCAAGTAATTTCTTCCCGAAGGTCTGGACCCAGCAGGAATCGTTATCGTCACTGTTGTGATTGATCACGAGAAGTGGCATTGCCACTGCTATTGCTGCTACTGTCAAAACAACCTGATTCTTAAGATCCTGACCATTCAACCTCACACCGCCAGCCCACCCTACTCCTCCAAACACAGGAGCGGGAAATCATCAAGGCGACGTATCAGAAGCTGCTGCCTGGCAACCACTTGGCTAGGCTTTTGGGCGGCTTGGGGTGTAAAGATGTAGAGCTTCGCCGGTCAGGGCTGATGGTTTGGAATTCGGGGGTCTGGTCAAAAGGGGGACCCGATTTGGGGCTCGGCTCGGCCCTTTTGTTATCACGCAAGCATTGTGTTTGCGCACGGGGGGGTTGTGCCCCGCCGAAAGCATATTCTAAATCGTGCCAACTCGCTACACAGCATATGATTTTTTCTCAAACCCATCACGTGAGCATTGAGTTTGCAAATGGGCGGGGGCTGCTGCGCCCCCCCTCCCCCGGTCGTTTTTTAAGCCGCGCAAGCCGTTTCGAAAAGCACACGAATCCACTCCAAACGCATCATGCGAGCAGCCGTTTTGCAAATGGACATCATTTCTTCGAGGAAGAGAGCTCATTTTAATAGTAAATGTAATGAATGAGTGAAAACATGAACGAATGAAGCACGATTTAATATGAAAAGGACTGAACGTAACAAGAATACGAAAAGACCTTACAATTTTCAATTGAATTTATAATGAATAAAATGACGCATGAAATTCAACTAGAAAATTAGGGCTTTTACTGCCTTCACTTATTCACTCCGTTCATTCATTAAGTTCACGCATTAATATTATTACAAGTGAACGCAGAGAACGCGTGAATCATATTATAATGCGTGCACGAAATGAGAGAACGAGTGCACGAACTATAGCCCTTATCATGAGACTGTGGATGAACCGTGTAAACGAGAACCCCTATTAAAAATAAGGAAGGGAGTGAAACGAGTGCGTGACGCATGATTTTAATTGGGGTTTTCGTGCGTTCACGGTGTTCACGCGTTTAATAATATAAAGAGAAGTCAGTAAACGAACGAATACACGAAGTAAATTATAAGTGTGCCATACAGAAGCCCGAAACTAAGGCTACGTCGGACCTATGGGTAGGTCTACCCTAGGCCTACGGGTAGCCTATGTACAGGCCTACGTAGAGGCTATGCGAGGCTACCTATAGGCCTATCCGTAGGCCTACGAGTGGGCTACTGGTAGGCCTCCCTGTAGGCCTACCAGTCGCCTATTGACAGGCCTACCAGTAGGGCTGTGGATAGCCTACACGTAGGCCTACCCGTAGGCCTGCGGGTAGGCTGCCGGTAGGCCTATCCGTAGGCCTACGGGTAGGCTACCGGCAGGCCTACCCGTAGGCCTATGGGTAGGCTACCGGTAGGCCTGCCCATAGGCGTGTAGGTATGCTACCGGTAGGCCTGGTCGCAGGCCTCTAAGTAGGCTATCTATAGGCCGACCCGCAGGCCTACGGGTAGGCTACCGGTAGGCCTACCCGCAGGCCTACGGGTAGGCGACCGGCAGCCCTACCCGCAGGCTTATACGTAGTCGAGGCATAGTAGTAGTGATGATCTCGGGGCTGGGGCTCGGGCACAAAAAGGAGGGCCTAAGAGTCCATGCGTGCGTGATTTCCTTTACGGATGCACATGATGTCTCGGGTTGAGAATTTAGGGAGCAGTTTGACGGGTGCTTTCGTCGTTTCTCGAGTCCTGGGGCTCGGTCCAGGGCTTTTTGATACGTCTACGGGTAGGCCACACGAGGGCCTACGGATAGGCCTACGCGTAGGCTGCCGCAGACTCTACCGACAGGCCTACGCGTAGCCAGCCGTAGGCCCTACAGCTAGGGCTACGAGTAGCCTATACGTTTGGGCTTCTTTACCAAGTGTGCGAGAAGCTCGTATCCCACCCGTGGAATACCATCATTTCTGCGAGGCGAAGCTCGTATTCCAGGATGCAACCCGCACCCAACCCCTTGTTTTTAAAGCCGTGCAAGCTTGCTTCAAAGCATATGAGTCTTTTCCAAACCCAGCAGGCGAGCATTGTGATTGCGATGTGCCCCCCCGAACCCCCCCCCCCCCGCTGTTTTAAGCCGCGCAAATTTGTTTCGAAAAGCTTATGAATCCTTTTGAAAGCCATCATGTGAGCATTCTTTTTGCAAAGTAGGGGGGGTCCGCCTCCCAACCCCGTGCTTTTCTTAACCGTGCAACATTGTGCTTGCGGCTGCGACCCCCGCAGCCCCCTGCACAGGCATGATGCGAGCATTGTGCTTGCAAATGGGGGGGGTGGGGGGTAATGCTGGATGACGTTCAGGACTACGTGGAATGGGGTTCTTCTGTCCAGGGTTCCTTGCAGGCCTTCATGAGATTGAGGGTTTTAAGAAGATCGGAAGCCTCATACCCGACCACAACTCATGGGGGATAATGTGTAATGGCGGGTAAGCGTAGGGAATGGTAGGTATTGGTGGGTAATGGTTATAAACGGGGGAGGGGCAACCCCCAACCGGCTTTCTTAAGCCGTTCAAGCTTGCTTCCAACACCATATAAATCCATCATGTGAGCATTGTGTTTGCCCATTGGGGGGCTGCGCCCCCCCTAGCCCCCCGGTGTTTGAAGCCGCGCAAGCTTTCTTCGACAGCACGTGCCAAGTTTCAATCCCTACCAAACCCGCGCGCCTTGGGTTTGCACATGTATTCGTCGCTATTGATAATGGTTCATGTATCTTCATGTCTTTTCCAGGTTCAATCGAGACTTGATAGAGCACATTGAGTCCGAGACGAGTGGCAACTTCAAGAACATCTTGGTTGCGGTCCTTAAGTGCACCCACCCCAAGGCTAGGGTTCCACGACAAGCCTTCACGTCAAGAGAACGAAACAAAAGCCTGAATCCACCGTAAGGCCTCCGTGGACTACGACAAGGATTGTGACAACCTGAAGAAGGCAATGGATGGAATCGGGACCAATGAGAAGGCCATGGACACGTTACCAAAGTGAACAGTACTATGCATACAACGACAATGCAGTGTACAAAATCAACAAAAGGCAAAGAGTCACAGACCATATGGTAGGTCATATCGTAGGGCAGCAGCGTCTGCTTGTGCTTGGATCAGGCAATCATCCAAATCCTTGCGGGCAAGACACCCCAACAGATTGAAACCCTCAAGGCCAAGTTCGAAGAGAAGTGGCTGCGTCCTCCTTGGGAGAAATGTTGTGTTTTTTTTCGGATCTGGCTGAAAAACCGGCACAAAGACCTAAGTCGTTGCCAACATGATCCCCATATCCTCCTCAATATGATGTTGGTGCTTGTGTGGGCGTTTGGGCCCTTGTTCTCGCAGGTATGGAGAAGACCTCTACGCCAGAATCGATGACGAAACCTGGGATTGGGGCACAAGTGCCTTGTACTCACTTTCTGGTGGTAAACCCCTTGTTCGCCCTCCATTCTCCTGAGTATTGGGCTTGCACAGCGATCTTGGGCTTACGCATCGAAACCAAACAGGGAACCTTCATTATGAACCTCATGGCAGGGTCATTGTCCCTTCAGGTATCTTTATGACGCCCAATTTCCGAGCTGCAATGCTTGGACTGATGAGGCGGATATCTGCAGGTGTTTGATATCCTGTTTGTGGCTTCTATGGCATTTTCTGATCTTTGTGGCGTTGCGCTGTCACATACCTGACGTCAAGTGTCTGAAAAATGCAAGAAACCTCCAGGTCGCCCTCAGAGCGTCTTGCATGCGCGGTCCGGGATTGCATTGTTGGCTGGGGCACGGATGATACGGGACTCATCACCCTGCTGGTGCATCTGTCGGAACGACAGCGTCGTGATTTGGTGGAGAAATACAGGTTCGGAATTTTCAGCAAGTACCCGTCAACCGTCCTGAACTACCAGGGTCTGTGTTTGTAGTCACATTGCATACAAGCTACGGACCATCATCTTCATTCCTGTACTCCTAGACGCCCTTAAACAGGGAGATCAAGAATGGCGGAGACATCTACGAGGCCATTGCAGGCGACACGAGCGGTGACTACAAGCAAGCTCTGCTCGCACTGGTGAAGCCGCCTCCCAAGGTTCGGCGTCCGGGAGTTACGTGAGTTGGCGCTTTTAGGGCTTAGGGTGTAGGGCTTAACGACGGGTTTTCCCACGCAGCTCTCGCCTCGCGCACGCCACACACTGGCTGAAACCAGCGAAGAACAACTGGAAAACTTGCGAAGCACAGCAAATACTGCGTGGGAAAAAGTGCAGACATGAAGAAAGAAGCCGAGGAAGCAGTTTCAAGAGAAGCTGGAAAACTGCAATTCCCCCTGGATCACTGGGAAAGCGTGTACAGTATAATATTTGTTTAGGTTCATATCTCTACCAACAGCCAGCGCGAAGTGCAAGAAGAGCAAGGTTTAGGGTTTAGAGTCTGTAGGGTCGGCGGATCCATCCAACCCGGTGATCCCGACCCCCTCCCCCCCCGGCTGTTCCCCCCCCCCCCCCCACGCGTTGTTCCCCCCCTTTCTCCCCGCCGTACTGGCGCAAGTTCGCAAGGCCTTGACCCCGGGGAGCCAGAAACCCTCCTCTCAGTTTTCTCCAATTTCAGCTTTGAACCCCACACCGCCCGCAAGTGTCACGTGATGCTGCGACCGCGGGCGATTTCTGCATTGTTGTCAGCCCCAGCTTGTTCTTTTGGCAACACAGAACCTTTATCCAACATGTACGAGATGTTTTCACGGGCCGCCTCCCAGGTACCCACCCCACCCCCCCTCTCCGCGCAAGTGAGCATCATAGGACCATCAGCCTGGCGCAGTTGAGAGCCCAAGAGCCACGAGAGAGAAACGATGGGGTCCATGATGCGCCGGGCGCACACATCATCCAAAGCCATGAATGTGTCGATGATGCTCGCTTTGGGGGAGGGGCGGGCCAGAGAATGGAGTTCAACATAATGTCGCTTAAGCGCTTGCGTGGCCGCAAGATATTAAAAAGGTGCGATTGATGAGGCGCTGCAGGGGTGCCCCGTAGCTCAGGAAATTCCGAAAAGCATTCCGCTCAGCATCCTGAGAGGTCGGCTGGGATGGCTGGAAGAGGCCGACAGAAAGGCGGAGAGCCAACCATAAACTCAATGGATTTCAATTGGCAAAACACGAATTTCTGTCTTGGCACTTGTCAAAGGAGCGTGAACCACCAAAAGTTTCACTGGGCCCGAGAAATTATGAGTTGGTAATTTTTAGCCCCAATTGTCTGAGAACCTTTTTTCCGTCTTGTGAAAAACCGGTAGCTGGCCGGGGAGCAAAAGGCTCGAAGGCGGGCGGCCCTTGCCGTTTGCCTTTGAGGCCTAGTTGCCCGAACCTTTCTTCCTTTTCCTCATCCGGGGAATGTCCTCCACCCCCCCCCCCCCCGAATGGCCCGAATGGCCTTTAGGTTCATGTTTCGTGGCAGTGGAGGTCTGGGCCGAAGCTATCCTGTCCTCTATGAAGGGCTTGGGAACCGCTGACAACCTCTTGATCAACTGGATGTGCATCGCGAAAGAGCGCATGAACGAGGTGTGAATTCTTTGTTTGTTTTTTTGTGTGGGTGCCGGGGGGAGGGGGGGGGGGGAGGGGTTGGCTGCATTTAGCTTCATATTGTTGCATCCTTGTAGGAGCGGAGCATTCTCAGGCTCATCTACTATAGAGACGTACAAAAAAGAGTACAGGGTCTGACAGCCTACCTGGGATCCTTCCTTCAGAAACATCCCTCATCTTGGAAAACCAGCGTAAGATCTGGCTTTACTAGAGCTCAGTATACTTCGAAGCAACAAAGGCACCTTGAGCCCTAACCCTGGGCAGGTCAGAGCGCATTTCCAGGAGTTGGGCGCTGGTGAACTGCCGGGCTGGATTGCCAGTGAGTGCGGCGACAGCGACTACAAGGAAGTTGCGGCTTTGCTGAGGTATATTGCTCGATCGATCTCACCATATACGATGAATTTGTTGGGTGGCTCCCTGTACAATGAGAACCACGTTCCTGTGAGGAAAAACTTCATAGTGCCTTACACTGTGAACGTTGTTCAGTGAGCTTCCAAAGCCGGCCAACTGCACAGCAATAGTGTCCAAGGTTCCCTGTGAGGACATACATGGCTGTGAGCTACCGTGAACTAGACGGCAAACAGAGGTTTGCAGGGGCAAAACGCTTTGTAGATACCGCTGGTAATCGACAAAGACGGGTCAAGACTGTGATGCAGTGGAACTCGTAGAGTGTAGAGCCTTCCGCGCAGACCATGCGCTTTGCTTGCAAAACGAATCCTAGAGTTGAACGCCCCCTATGTCGAGGAAAATGTAATCTCTTTCTTGAAGTGGCTTAGGCGAAGTTAGGTCCTTTAGGGCAGTATTGGTGAGGATACGGGCAACACTTTCCTGCAGTGTTTAGATGAGTCCTGCATGACTGTGTTTAGCGGTATTCCCAAGTGCAAGATTTCGTTCACCAGATGAACTGAAGCTTCCGGCCTGACCTAACGCATACCGCATAAGCATCAAGGACATGGGAAAACGAGGATAAGGGACAAGCCTCAAACAAAGAACAAAATCACACAATTACACGGTGGTGAGGAGCAAAGCGAGTTTTACGGGCTCCTTTCTTTTAGTGGCGGGGGGGGGGGGGGGGGGGGTCACAACGGGCAATGGATTCCGTCCGGCAAACTCACAGGAAGGCAATGAGAGATACCTGGAGAAGAAGCTAAAGAAATTCACTTGAAATGAGCTTGCGCTTCCAGGCGCTCCAGGTTCCTTTTCTACCTTCAGGAGAGTACGAATATGAGCAAGTGGCTTCTGCCTCTAGCTTCAGCTGCCTTCGGCTCCTTTTGAGCGTCCAGCTGGCTTTCTTGCGGTGGCCCTTCTTCCCACAACGCTCACGCAAAACTTCCGTGTTCAACGCACGAGAAGAGGACGTACAGAGTTTTTGACGGTCGCTCATATGTTGGACCTAGCGGCACGGCCGGTCGCATCGACCCCCAAACTCAAGCCGCAACCGATTCCTTGCAATCTGTAACGCAGCACGGTTACATGCGATTAATGTTTACATAGGTTACGGCAAAACATAGCCGGAGGGAGTCGCAAATGACTGAACTCAGCCAGTGGTGGGTTCTTGCCCAACTTGGCAGTGGGCGAATGCGGATGAATTCGAGAGGCTATTGGGGGTTTTAGGACGCAGGGAAGACATTGGGTCACCATGATAATAGTATGATTATCAGTTTGTGGGTGATTACACCCAACGTTGCCTTTGAGAGGACACACTCCTGCGGCTGGCCAATCGCCGCTGCGAGCGCTTCGCCGGCCAGGAGGTTGGTCTCAGCATAGCGCCGCCACAAACCAAGGAGGATGCCGTCCCGGGGCTTGGAACTTCGCTCCCTCTCCCAACACACGGCTGTCCCACCCCCAGCCTCCCCTCGCACACAAGATGAAACATGCACATGCTGACCACTGAGGTTCTCAAGTTCACCACCACCTTCAACAAACTGTGCAAGCTTCGACGGGACAAGGGTGACAACATCGTTCCCGGTGAGGAGGACCAGCAGGACTCTTGCTCCATATAAAGTTCCCGTACACCTGTACACCATCGTCGAATCATCATGGTGAACATTGGTCATATTCCCTCTTGCGGCCTTGAGTTTGGTTTCCCAGAATCTTGCATAGTTGCAAGATGTTGCAAGTGTCCATTGCAATGATTTTGAACAATCCTCGTGTTCGCACAGCACCTGCCACATTCTTCTGTAAACGTACGCCCAAGGCCATGGGAAATGCCTTCTTGTACTATGGGTCGCTGTCCAGCTGCGCACCGAACCTGGACATTCCAGGTCTCTGGGACTTGACGAACGCATGTGGCTTCCCACCTGGAGATGATGGTCCCGACTTGGTCGCAACTTTCAACGAGTGGGATGTGAGCGGCACCGGCGAGATCACCTGGAATGACTTCGTCCGCGAAATGACGACACGCATCAACGATCCGGGACATTTCGATGCTGACCCACTCCCTCAGACCATCGACATGATCTCTATTCCAGATGCACCCTTGGGTGATGGCTACAAAGCCCACATGCACATGTTCAATGCCTCTGACGATGACTATGAGGAATATGAAGACTCGGGCGCGCCTGCACCGGCCATGGAGTACGACATGTATGCAGCCTTTACGGATGGTAGCTGGAAAGATGTGCTTGCCGGTGTGGAGCCGACTGAGGATGGAGGCAGAAACTGCACTGTCGGACTTCCGGTAGGGATTGAAGGACGGTACTGTAGCAGTACTTTGCAGCATATGACCGTATTCTAGGTCATAGGAACATATAGGCCCCCCCCCCCCCCCCCCCCCCGAATGGGAATGGGTTGCCAGATCTTCCACAGTTTGGCAACAAATGATGCCACCACAACCAGCAACTCCCACTTATCCACGTGGTTTGGAAGTTTATTCTTCTTTCAGTTGCTTCCTATTAATTTGCAATATGGCGCCGCTCAATTTAAATCGGCTTCCTTGAATGCGAAAAATGTGAAACTGTTCTCGCTTTTAGATGTCCGGCATTGCAAAAAGCGAAATTGTCATCGCTTTTGGACATCTGGTCTTGCGAAAATGCTCCTCGAGTGCCTGTCGGAAAGTGCTTGGATTGGTCTCGGCCTATTCTGGACGTGTTCTTGGACCATGGCTCTTGGACCATTACTCTTTCGTGTCCCCATGATTTTCTCACAGTTTGGGGCCTACGCATAATAGAGAGAGACTGTGGAAAAGACACTGCAGAAGCGTGGTGCTGCCAGGCATGCTTTCCGGGCCCGGCGCTGAGCTGATAAGCCAAAGTCCCGTCCCAAATCCTTCGAAACAGGGCAGGAGTATGAACTGGAGTCATGAGCACCAAGCCAGACCGTCAATGATGCTCAGAAAACACTGGGATACCATGGTGTCTTTAGAATCGTACCATTCAGAACAGAACACTAGTCAGATTGATGACATATGTCAAGGCCCACTCCATGACTTAAGGGGCTGTTGGGCTTGCAAAAGACGCTGTGCCAAGGCCCTGGGGAGAATGCATTGCGGCGGCTGTCAGAGTGGAGTGCACGGAGGCTTGGGGTTTCGGATCAACAGGGTGGAGACAACAGGGCGGATTTGGGGGGGGGGGAGGGTTTTAAGAGCAGACAATGTACCTGGGAATAGATGCAGTGATCAGTCTTTCTACAGTTCACCTATAGAAACGCAAAGTGGAAGTGCGGGTATTTCCGGGTTTTGGGCCAGCTGGGGTTAAGGAGCTGCTCGTTCAGGGCCTCAGGAACGTTTCAAGCTAGGCTCTTCTGCAAATGACTAGAAAGGTCGGGCCCGTTCAAAATGATGGGAACAGCTGTGTCCCGAAATTAGAAAGGCTTGAATGAACGCTTGATCCCACTCTGCCTCACCCAGTGAGGGACCTCTGAAAATAGAAGCCAACGTCTCTTTCTCCTCTCTTTGCCTCCGTGTTTGCCTCCGTCTCTGTTTCCGTCTCTGTCTCCGTCTCTGTCTCCGTCTCTGTCTCCCTCTGTCTCCCTCTCTCTCCCTCCCTCCCACCCACCCACCCTCCCGCTCTCCCTCCCTCTCCCTCCCTCTCCCTCCCTCTCCCTCCCTCTCCCTCCCTCTCCCTCCCTCTCACTCTGTCACCCTCTCACCCTCTCACTCTCTCACTCTCTCACTCTCTCACTCGCTTGCAGCCCCGAGGTGCTGCCAGCGCTTCTGTTATTCCTCCCAGTAGAAATTTGATATCCTTATGGTTGCTGCCGGTATCATTCTCAGATTCCAATTGAGTTCCTTCCTTGAAGGACTGGCAGGGCCGCTTCGATGACGCTCCTGTGGGCTTGGTGCCTCCTTGGTTTGCAGGGGAGGGCCCTTTAGTGCTGCAGGGAGCATCCCACTACTTCTTACAAGAGAGGTGCGTAGGGGGTCCGGGATCCTCAACAGCTGACATTAAGGTGTGTCAAGGTTTCTTTTTTCCCATTCTATCCCGAGTATCCCACGTTGTTTGCCTGAGCGAAGGGTTTTTGCTAGAAAAGACCGAAAATGGCGCGAGAGGGAAAGACAGAATATTAGAAAGAAAGAATCACAGAAGAAAGCAGGAAAGAAAAAACAGAAACGAAAGAAACAAAGGAGACCCGCCGTTTGTCGGCAAGAGCTGCTGAAACAGTCCCCAAGCTATGATCCCCATCATCAAAGACCCTTAGTGGAGTTCACCATATCCTGGACAGGTGATTGAGTACATGTGCTCATTGGGCCATGAAGCTTTCGCTGCCATGGCAGAACAGAAGGAACAGGCCGGGCCTTCGGTGTCAGCTGTGCCACAAAGTTCGCTAGCACGCGCAGCCCGAGTGGAAGTTGAAATAGAAAAAATTCACAAATCTGTTCACACGTCATCCTGCCCTACACAGGCCTTCGAAGCAACCGGGTGAAAATCCCTGAAACTCAAGCAATCAAACTGCCGCCGCTTCTGATGCCGTTTCAGCTCCAGGCTTGCAAAGACGCGCTGTGAGCGATGTAGCAGAGAACGAGCACACTATCTGTGCGAAACTTTAGGGTCAAGGGCTGAGGATGTAAATTGCCAGCGGCACTCTAAGCAGGCGATGGCCACGCGCCGATACTTCTCAATTCTTAAGCCTGGGTTGCCAGGTACCACAAACAATGACGTTTCATCATGAAGTAAATCAGAAAAATTCCATGTCTTGGTTTTACCTCTCAAATTTGCTCTCTTGGCACTCCGGCGCACCTGTCGTCGGAAGTGGGCTTGGTGGAGTGTGGGCCGTCCTGGAGGGTAGATCCCAGCTGAAAGAGTTTAGGGCCATTTACATTTGGGGCAACTGTAGGGTTTTCATCAAGCAGGGGTATTGACATGTGTTGTGGGCTACGAGTGTACTGCTGTCTGCACTATGCTATATTGTACCAATGTTTAACTAAGGCTGTGTTGTTTTGTTTACAAACGAGCGGAATGATGCACGACACCGATATACAATATACACGGTGTGAGATAAAGTACCATGCAACAACGTCGCGCTGTGATGTTCATCTAGCTATTGTAGCACATTATGTTGCATTTTCAATGTTGACTTACTCTTAACACTTAAAATCATAAGATGGTGGTAGAATGGCTATAAACAACAGCGTACTATGCTGGGAATGTGCCCTGACGCGCGGTAGCAGCAAGTTGCCATCAGTTGGATCCTCTCCGAAACCGGACATGGATCCGAAGCCACCTGATGTGCAGGTTTTGCCCCAGAAGAAAGGGCGCATCAAAAGTGATTTTCAACATCACTCCCAAAGTTCGGAGACCGAAGATCACTGGCAAAACGAGGAGCTGCCACTGATCTGCGAAGCTGCGGCCCTTAGTAGCCAGAAGCATTGGCCATCGAAGGTGCGTGCCTTGTGCATGCACCCTTGCATGCACTCTGCGTGTGCCGTTGCGTATGTTTCCTGACGCTATCACTCGTTTTGATGGCTGCAGACACCATCTGACGCATGTTAAATGCAAGTCAATCACTCACTCACTCACACACGCACACACATCCACACTTACTTTTCGGGATTCTGATTTGTTTGGACATGCCAGCATGCATAGAACCTGACGGGAGCCACGTGCCTGACCGCGGACAGACGTCATGAAAGGGTCCGCATATGATACAAACGAAGCTGAATCAGGTGATTTTTCGTCGTGGGGGTTGGGGTGAGTTCGAGAATGGGACGGGAAGACTGAGGAGATGGGATCAAGGGAGAGGGAAAGTCCCATGGTTATGCTGCTTTGATTTTTAGCTACAACATGTGCCCATGTCGTAGTGCTAGATTCACCATGGCAGTTCCATAGCGTTGCGATGATGCCTTCAGCGTCGCAGCTTTCGACGTTGGGTGATGATGTGCCGGCTCCTCACATCCCGATATCCCGATATCGCTGCAGTTATGGCCCATGGCAGGAACCATGCGTTGTTCAAAGGTTAAGGAAACTCATGCACCATCAAAAGGCCTGCAAAAGCCTTCAGCATTGTTTGGGTCGCAGTTGTGCAGGTTCGCCGCTCTAGCGTCATTGGGCCTCGCAGAGGCATGGTGTGAACAATTCTTGATGTTGATAAGAACTTTTGGTGCATCGTGGAGTTTAGGGCAACCGGAATATGTCGTCCGTTGTGCCACAGGTGATGCACTAGTAGCTTCTGGCATCCAGCAAGTGGTCGGGGCAACCAACAGGTTGCTAGGTTTGCTGGGTAGCTCAAGCGTTTTCGATAGCAGTTTCTGCAGCCATGTCGTAAACAAGGCCGATGGGCGCACAACGTAAGCACAAGAGTTCGAACATGACTGGACATGACTGGCAAGTGATCCATATGCAAGGCCGTGTTCTTTGCTGTGTTCGTGCAGCCCTTAGACATGCGGAAGGGACGTGTTTGCATCCCCAGTCTTGTGCTTGTGCCAGTGTGCCAATCCTTCAGAACACTCCGAATGTTCCATTCTTCGAGGCAGCACTGTGTGGCCCGGCAGTTCCCAGTGCTGCCCTCAACGTTGACGTGCAGAGCCACTTTGATCTAGGCTCCTTGAGGCCTTCCCGGCTTCAGCGATTTTTTTCAACAGGTGGTTTTGGTTGGGGGTTTTGGGCTTGAGAAGGTCTTGGCAAGAAAATATCTGGATCGGATCAACTTGAGAAAGCTTCATATGCAGTCGCGGAGTCCCGGGACCAAAGAGCCTGGACACATCTGGACAAAAGCAAGCCCACCACAGTGTCCTCAAAGAAAACGGGAAAGTGCGGAGAGTTTTGTTTTTCAGAGGCTGTGGTGTGCCTTTGAGGCTTCTGTGGATTTGCGAGGACACTTGTGCTGGAAGCGCAGCTTCTTTTGGGCGCACGGTGATGTGATGTTGCGTGTCGGGTTCTTGCCGTGCTTGGGCCCGTGTAAACACCCTGCTCCAGACCAAGATTCTCAGACTCTAAGAGCCGTTCAAACCGCCAAAACAGCCCAAACCATCCCAAACACCCAGATTTCCCAAAGTTTCCAAGCTTCGCAACCCCGGAACTGCTGTTCGGCTCACAGGTTTGCAGCTGTTCGGTCTGCTGAGTGGAGATGCCGTTCGACGTGCTGGCCGCTTAGATCCCGCTTTCCGAAGTCAAAGTTCACACAAGCGCTCAAGGCAAAATGCCAGCAATAGCAGCAACAGCGACGACTGAACAAGACCAACTGGGAACCAACAAAAACATCAGGAACCTAAGAACCTGTTGTGCAGCGAAAGTCCTTGTGGGTTGTCTTGGAAAGCAGCGACTTGGTAACGTGAGCATGGCTGGGGAGGTCATTCTGAGT